CGACAAAATTCAAGCAATGAGGACTCTTTATACTTTATTAGTCTCTAGCTTTCAATGGACTTTGCCATCTTCATCAGGAGCTGCAATATCATTGAGAAGAAATAGCAACCATTGTGCAAAATGATTTTAAATTAACTTACTATAAATTCTGCGGAAAATAAAGGTTTTGGATTTGTTGTGGTTATTTGTTTCTCAATCTCGCCAACATGGCTGAACGAATCTGGATGATACATTGACTGGAAAAGCACATGAACTATTCCATTAATAATAATAATAGTAATAATAATAGAGAACATACACAATTCTCAGATAATATCGCTAAGAGAATACTTCCATAATCGAAAATCTAATTCGGCATTACAAGGCATTATCTGCAACGTTGTCGTCTATTTATAGGACACACAGATTGCATCAGAACGATAGTCGAGAGACTCAACATATGGCAGACCAACGCGTTACATGGAAGACATGCTCAAGAACTACAAAGCCCTGATGGCTTACCAGAAACAACTGGTTACATGATGGCCTTCCACGATCAAGTCATAAACACCAAAAACTGCAAGAAGTACATCATAAGTGACCCAACAACAGAAGATGATAAACGTCGAATGTGTCGTATAGAAACAGAAAACATACAGCATATAACGGGAGGATGCCCCTCACCCACTCAGAAGGATTACACTCACATAGAGACATGATTAAATAGCTAAATATCATTCACCAAAGTCCAGCTATTCGAAATGGATTACTTCGTAAGTACCTTCGGCTAGACCAAAAGAGTACAATCTTCTTTCCTGAAACTGACAAACTTTTTCAAATGAACTAGGATCAAATTTTGTTGCATTGCATCTCTCACCTTCGGGTTTCATCGATTTTGATTTTTTGTTAAGAAACTACAGCGATTCTTTAAGATGTCGAGGAGAACCTGATTTATGACCTACTCGGTCTCCAGACTTGAAGGCTAGAGGTATTGCAATTCCACTAAAATATCAGATAAATTCTAAATGTAATTCTTGATTAACTCCTGGTGGAATAGGTTAGTTGATGGTGTAACTAGACAATAAATGACAGTGACGTATTGTATGAAACAAACTGGTTTTGTGAGAATCGTCAAAATACAGAATAGTCTCAGAATCACCTGTGCACACATTGAACTATTTCAAAATAAAGATATAATTCCGTTATCAAACCTGCATCAAGCGCAACAAGTAACATTCGAGAACCCATGTTGGATACTACGTTTGGATCGAACAACTTGTACTGTATTGAGGATACATTTCCGTATTTATAGACATCAATATCAAGCTATAAATCGACACCACCAACACATCGACCATCAAATCCTTTTATGGGTCTGTTTTCAGAAGCTCTTCTATCATGATTCTTAGATTTTATGGAGTACTTTTATCTTTGGCACACGTGTAAAAATCGTGTAAGTGTTTCTACTGATAATACTTAGATCGTGACATCGTATCGGTTATAACCAATTTTGAAAAACGTGACGAACATAAAAAAATTATTTATGTTTTACTTCTCACACCTACTGGCGGGGAAGTATTGTAATCGCAAGAAAATTCGAAACTGAGACTATTATTTTTGGGTGTTGCATAGCATATACATCACGAAAAACCATGTCACTCATTTGAAAAAAAACTAGTGAAAAAAAGCTTGATATACATATTTATATACTCTCCCAAACTTGGTAGTCATATGCAACTATTAGAGATATTTCACATTTTATAAATTTCTCCGTAATCCAGCCCTTAGCACTTACACTACCGTTGACAATTATTTGAACACCCAAGGAACCCAGGAAAGTGATGGAAGTTATTAAAGAAAACATTACAATATCTGTATGAAACATTTATTTTTTTAATTCCTAACAACATACAACTATTTATAATTAAAATAATCATATTTTTGACTCATCAATATGTTCTGCTTTACTTTTAATTACAGCCTGGTAAATGATGGGTAATCGCACAGCTAATTTTTCTAAAGTGGATGAGGTCTTGTAATATTCTCCATAAGGGTTCTTGAAATGTAGGACATTTCCGTACTTGTCTGTCCAGTTCATCCCATAGCAACTCTGTCGGATTCAAATCCGGGGATTGGGAAGGCCATTGCATGACTTTCAAAATATATTGTTTTCCTTTTGAGTTTACAAGGCGTGGCAACAATATACCTCTACCTTAACGGGGCTCCTACAATCACGAGCACCATCTGCTGAGGTAACGGGGGGTGAAAAGGAAACGATTGTGGGCTGGTCTTAGACGGTGGTCGGCGCTACTTTAAAAGAGGAAAGGATGACTGCGAGTGCCTACCGAGGTAAATTTTTATAATAACAGAGTCGGATTTCGATTAGCGATCTAGCCTGTAAATCGTTTCCTATTTTGGTACTCAGCTAGTGATCATTTAGTATTGTCCTACCCTTGTTACTGTTCGTCGATATTGTGTTGTTGAATTGTTGTGTTGTACTCTTGTTGGTGTGATTGTTCTTGAGTGAATTTTTTATCAAGGTTGATATGGACAATAAAAGGTCATAGGCGACAATTTTAATTACGAATTCAGTGAGTTTAATTCATGATGAGGACAACAATAGTGTGGAGCAGTTCAACTCTATAATCGCAAAATACATTAGGGTAAGCGGATAAATTATTGCAAGTAGAGGTCTTACCATGGAAGATGTGCTGCAGCTGTAGTGAGCCACAATACCGAGCGGCCTGTCTATGTGGTCCAAATACATTTGTGTTCTGAGCTTAGTCCAACCTCGCATATCATTAAGATGGAACAAAGACTCAAACGCAAGAATCTTGGAAAGAAACTCAGACCAAAAAAAGTTGATATAAAAATAACTGACAATTCGGATAGCAATTCCAAAGAAAATATATAATAGTCTTATGGTGAATTCTGTCAAAAACCTGACATGAACGACATTGATTCGGTTGTTGCTAAGCAAGAATTTTTAGGAAAACTTAGAAAAAGTGACGACGAGATTTTGCATAGGGAACAAGTCACCAAATCACAGGACTGTGCTTTATGGCGTCTTCATCGCAGGATAAGGTTGACAGCGTCTCGATTTGGTGAAGTTTGTAGAAGAAGGCAGACAACAAGCTGTAAAGTTCTAGTAAACTCGATCATATACCTAACAGAGTTTTCTAGTAAGGCAATAAAAAAAGGCAATACAAAAATCATTGGACACGGCAGTTGAATCTTGTGGTTTGTTTATTGATCCCACACATCCATTTCTGGCAGCATCACCTCTATCTACCTATTACAGTAGACAAGACATATACTTAATCCAGGTATAAGCCTTGCAAAAACTACCAAACTGTTTCCTCTTATTTTGACGGCATAAGATATTTTTATGACCCTCGTTCAATTGTTACCATCTACCACACGACCCTTGTAAACATAGTGGTGTTTATCGACATGAATCAACGAATTAGAATTTGAGTTCTTGAGTTTATTTTATGAAAGATATAAAATTATTTGAATACATTTTTTCTTAGTCGAACGCACCGTCGCGTCGCTTGGACTTGCAGGACGAAATAGTAGATGAATTTCGCCCAAAAACCGATTTGCTCATCACAGCTTACTTTTTATTATTTCCAAATGAAACTCTTGCAGCGTGCTAAAAACAAAGTCCACAGGGTGTCAGCGATCCACTTTTTCGATTTTATCCACTAGGATCTTTTTAAAATATCAAGAAGTTGCGCACAAATGGTGAGCATTTCAACCCACCATAATTCTTGCGCAAAGACAAAATTTTGTAAAAAGCTCTGATAGCACCCTAGGCAATTATGGCCTGCTTATATGCAGAAAAACATCACAAACTGCAGAACACAAAACGTAACGGCGAAATGGGTACATTTCACAGGTTATGAAATTCAAATGAAAATGCAGGTATAAAATCTACCAAATGATCGTTCTCAAAAACATATTTCGTTGACATATCGATAATTTTAAAGTTCCACGCTAAGTTCCCCTATACTTGACTGGAGTGATATCCGAATTTATTCTTCCCTACTGTAGGTAGTTGCAGATCTGTTGGCTGTTGGTGTTAAACCTATAGAGCAGGTACCGATTTTTTTAAATCGTGAGCACATTATTCGTCGGATTTTCGATACTTAAATTTCCTGTAATCACTGGGATCAGAAGCTGCTTAGTAATAGAACGTGTTTCACTGATTTTAACCCCCCCTTTTTAAGAAGTACAATTTTTGATGTCAATGATTAGGAACCCCTGAAACGTCAAAAACGGAGTTTCAGCAATTGTTACTTTTTCTTTTTTGCCTATAGCACCGTTGCCACTGGACTAAAACTACAAAGCTTTGGCATACTGGTAACCGCGTCTGGAAATTTCGTAAAAATCCGAGCGGTAATTTCCAGGATGATGATGAGTGATACAGTTTTTCGTGATGTAGATGTCATATGACTTAAAAGAACATAACATCTCATTTTAGAAATTCTTCGCGATTACAATACTTCCTCGCCAATGACGTGGGAAGTAAAACGGCTTTAAAATCGAGGAGTATCAGCGATCGCGATTATGAGTACCTATTTGCAGAACGATTTATCTACGCGATATTATATGAAATAAGGCCACCAAATAATCTGAATACGTCCTTCCTTAGTCCGTACATTGCGCCGCACCGCTTGGTTTAGCAGCACGAAACACTAGACAAAATTCGTCCAAAATACGATTTGTAGAGGTTTGCGCGCTTCAAAATTGACGCTTTGTGTTTTGATGCTTTTAGATGAAATTTTCACAGAGTGCTGAAAACAAAACCCCACAGGGTGCTATATAGCCACTTTTTCATTTTTTTCACTAGGTTCATTTCAAAAAAATCGCGAAGTTGAACAGAAAAAGTGCGCACTTCAACCCTTCATAAAACTTGTGCAAAAACAAAATTTCAAAAAGTGCTCCTATAGCACCCTGGGCAATTATCTTCTCAACATACTGTATGAATTTCATTCAAAAAGATTGAAAAATTGAGTGTCAGTTTTGAAGCAGCTGAACCCTTGTAAATGGCTTGAAACTCACTGCGTCGGAGCCACCTTAAGCAGTCTGATAAAAGGCAACGTTTGATAACAAGTAGCGTTTGTAAATTCTCAACTGAAATTTCAGTAAAAGGAAAAACATCAGATAGCAATGCAATTTTATTAACATATCCATAAGAAACAAATTCTATCACTACGTAGACTATCGGCAAGAACCCGGCACGCACCGTTTTATACGTGGGTCAAATATCTTGTTAAACCCGCACGTCTTCAGTTGAAGCTCGTAGTCGAAGATAGGCCGATGCCAACCGATACGAGTACATTGGTAAAATTGATTGCACTTCTCTGCAGGGTGTTTTCCAGATCTTGCACAATACGGAGCCACTGAAAAGCAACATTGACTTATCATACATAAGCCAGAAGTTTGTTGGAATTGAAGCAGTTTACAACATGTTGCAGGACAAGCTCTCGGACAAAAAGGCGGGCAGCATGTACCGCAGCAGAAATCATATTAAGTCCACATTATTGCAACATTTGAAACTTATCGTGTGGTTTTCATCCTAATAATCCCCATGTTTGTCCGACAGGATCAAACCGAATATACAGGGAAAACCAAATTTGTCTGATGACTTGAGTTCATTTCATACGAGAGAGAAGTGCGAGAGGTTTGCATCAAAACATGCTAGAAAGAGATACAAGCCGGCTAAAGAGCGAAGGTTATCATCACATTGCCTAGCAATGGGGACGCAGAAGGTCGTGCAATCTGTTGCGTTGCCAATATGTTACACCAGAAAATGTTCGCACAGGTTTCTACAATTGGTTAGGTTACTGTCAAACCCAAGAAGGAGGTCTGTTCGAACATTTGATTTAATATTTTGATTCAATTCTAGTGCGATAAATCTGGATTTTGGCGTTCCACAAGGATCTGTGTTGTTCATTATATGTAAATACTCTTGAGCAGTCCTTCCCCAGGGCACACTTTACTTTATATGCGGACGACACATCGATTAGTTTATCAAATAAAGATGCCGTTATCCTAATTAACGACTGTAACAGTTTGTTACATTGCATCAATAGCTGGTTCGAGGAGAACCAGCTGCATCTAAACTGTGAAAAAACAACAGCAATCAGATTCCACAATGCCCAAAAATCAATACCTCCCCTGCAGCTTACATTGGATAATTTAGCCCTGTCCATCAGTGAGAGCACAACATTCTTCGGACTGCACCTGGATGAGTGCCTCAATTTTAAAGGACATTGTGACTACCTAACTAAAAATGTAAGAACAGTTTTTACACGCGACCAGTTATTCATGTTATATGACAGTCATATCGAGTCGGAAGTGCGTTATGCATTGTGTTTCTGATGTTCCTCGGTGAATTCTTCAAAGGTATTTTGAGAAGGATAAGGTGCATAGCAGGTGTTGACAGTATATACAGTTGCTGAGACTTGTTCTTTATGAAATGGCCATATATACGTATATTAACAGAGATAATTTTACCTTGAACAGTAATATAAATACATTCAATACTCGTAGGCAGCACGACATTCATCTACCCTTTGCTCGATGTGAGCTGGGTAGTAGATCTCCTTCTATTTTAGGACCAAAGATATTCAACAAGCTGCCTGAGTATATTAAGACAGTTAGCTCCTTAAATAATTTCAAATCTGAGTTAAGAACATATTTTATTAATAAGACTTGTTACGCCATCAGTGACTTTGTGGATATTTAGATGTTTTTTGTATTGTTAGTTATCCACTTATTGTTTGTCCTTTTATATATTTTTATATTGTATTTCTGTTATTTTATTAATTTTAACTGCTGGAAAGCTAATCTATTTTATTTGTTGTTGTTAGCCTATGGTGTCCATTTTAAAATATTTAATTTAAACTATTGTTTGTTGTTGCTTGTCATTTTACCGTTTGTTTTTTTATGTATATAAATACTGAAAATTGTTTGTTGACGAACCCTATACATGTTTTATACATGTCTAATGGGTAATAAATATTATTATTATTATTTTGATTAGAATTATTTATTTAATTTTGATGCGACTTAGTGTTTCAATTTATTTTAGAATTATCTTTTATTTCCACCGACGGTGATAAAATCAACATATTCTGAGTTACTGTTACATTTTGCGACAACGAGCTGCCTGCGTGTACGCAACTGAAAATCGTTTCAAAGCAGGACGACACTCCCCAATGAGCGCTAGATGGGTACTGACCAAAATCGCTCATCTATGATCATGGAGGTGAAAACCGTGCATTGGAATGTACGAGATGCGGTGCTGCCAAGCGAACCAATGATGCAATGTTGCAGAATTTCTGGCGATCCGGACCCTTCATTTCGTCCTAAAATGGAGCGCCACTAGGACCGATCCGGAATCGGCACAATTCACAATTCAAAAATGTGTACGCTCAAAGTAAAACCGTTATTTGGACGTAGAGAATAAACTAACGCATATTCTTACCATAGATCTTAATTCAAGGAACTGGTGTAACATGTCGCTAGGCAATAAACCTCGCTATCCAGCCGGCTTCTGTCTCTTTCTAACATATGTTTCTATACACAATTCTCTCTCGTACACCTTCAGACAAATTTGGTTCTCAGTGTATGTTTTATATATAAGGTATGACTCGGACATACAAACATTGAAGAGTACCAAACATATGTTGCGCAATGTACAGGGTGGCGCATCGAAAGCGAAACAGACGCATTTACTGGCAGCTCAGTTTTTTTTTTGGAAAAACGGTCAGACCCGTCAATTTTGTTTTTGAGGGGAACACAAGTTTAACAAAAAATCACGTTAACACATGCAGCCCCCTGAGCGGGGGTGACACCAACCCTAAAATCTTAAATGGAAGGGGGGGTCGAGTGATGCCTTATTTTAAAGGTCTTTATAATGATGTAAAATACATGAGCTTCAGTTCAGTAGTTTTGAAGATTTATTGATTTAAAGCTTAAAGTAGACTTTAATAGGTACATCAGATTAGTTTGTACTACTTTCAGAAGAAATTTAACTAAAAGAATGTACTTAATAAGTAATTGCTTTTCTTCACTACGTTCATAATTTGTTTATCATTTTGTTGTTCAAAATAGCTATTGGAGCGTTTTTTTGTGGCAAAAAAGTTATTTCTTGAAGAAAGATAAGGAAATATCTGGTACATATTTTAAATAGGAATTTAGTACATAGATTGATTTGACCAAACTTTGTTGCTAAAATAACTTGTAACGCTTTATTACATAAATTAACCATAGTATATTCCACAGCAGAAAGAGATGAAATTATCGGAATATTTTTCGGAAATAATCAGTGCGCTAATAGAACAGCAGTAATATTTAATGAGCGACATGAGAACAGTAACGTGCATCGAAAATATTTTCTAGAGCTTGTAGCTAAATTTCGGGAAACTGGGTTAGTCGCCAATAAAAAACGAACATTGAAAATCCCATAAGGAACGAACCAATAGCAGTTGGGGTTTTTGGGGCAAGTTTATGTAGATCCTACGTTAAGTACCCGCAAATTGGAGACTGTGTGTGGTGTTAGTCGACGTACTGTCCAACGGATTCTAAAGGCCCATAGCTTTTATCCGTACAAGGACTTAACGAAGACGACTTTGATCGGCGATTATAATTTTGTGAAGATATGAATGAACAAATTATAAACGATGAACATTTTCTATTCAACACTTGCTTTTCCGACGAATGTGCCGATACTAGTCCGATTCTAATCCCAGAATTTATCATGAGGTTCCTACACAGCAGCCACAAGGTGCCATTGAATGGCCCCCAAGATCGCCAGATTTATCACCTTTGGATTTCTTTATGTGGGGTCATTTGAAAAGCAAAATCTATGCTACTCAGACAACATCATTAGAAGACCTGCGACAAAAAATTGTGAATGAGTGCCTTCAAATTACTCCTCAAATATTGCAAACGTTTTGAGCAAAGTCTTTATTATTGCATGGAGAGTCGTGGTGGCATTCATTCTTCATTTTTAAATTACTTTGCTGCCAACTGTATTGATCTCCACTAATGATGATGTATTAGTTTTATTTAAGCTTTAATTCAGTAAATCTTCAAAACTACTGAACTGAAGTACATTAATGTTATATCAGTATAAAGGGAATTGAAAGATCTTTAAAATAAGATTTTTTTCCAAACTTGTGTCCCCGTCGAAAACAAAATAGATGGGTCTGAGCGTTTTTGCAACAAAAAAACTGAGTTTCCAGTAAATTCGTCTGTTTCGTTTTCGATGCGCCACCCTGTATGTATCAGACGCTGTAACAGTCTGCAACAAGGCTCATGTGTTGAAAAGTATGCAGCTGTATTTTTTACAGAATAAATCGATTTTTTATCGTGTCGTCAAATATATAAAGCCTAAATGTATTGAGCTTCTACGTACCGGACAGCGAAGTACAGGTTCCAACAATGCAACTTTTGGAGCTGTCATCGTAGATCAAGTCACCCTCGCACCTCCTTAAAGCACGCTTGTAGCGCTCGAAGACATGGAGTACTCCCTTGTCAAGACACTCGTAGTACAGATTACAATAGAGAGCTGGATATGTTCCTTTGCCAACTGTGTAACAATTTGGCGGATCAACTAGAAATGAAACCAAATCAAACACCGAACACAAAGGTAACTACGAGCCGCTACTTTTTTGCAATCTTCTTTCCTGATTTTCTACTTGGCTACGAGGTTTGTAAATTAAGTGACGGGGCTGTTTTATTTTTAAATTTGTATCCAAGTATAATTATAATTTTATATTGTTACCCTCAAAGTACTGGACTTCCGGTACTGGAACTGCCTTCAGCTAGTCGGTTACAGCCGTTTGAATGTCTTCGACTGTCCTAAAATAAGTTCATTTGAGGTGATTTTTCAACTTCGAGAAAAGGAAAAAGTCACAAGAACTCAAGTCAGGCGATTAATGAGGCTGAGGAGCTGTTTTTACTAAACGAAAACTTGTTTGCGGGGGATGTCCTTTAAGTTTTGCATATAGAAAGGTAGTAGGTCGCGCGGATCGAATGTCAGTACTAAATCTTAACCTCACTATTTAGTAAACTTAAATTCAAAGTTTCACAACAATACGTACAGTGTTCTCACTACAGTGAATTTTTAAGTGTCACCAAGTCATTAGAAAAATGGAACTCAACCGAGAACATTTTCGCGCCATAATTTATTACAACTTTCAGAGACAATTATCCCAATAAGAATGCCTTGCTGAGTTACTGCCTGTTTTCGGCAACGAAGCGCCACATCAGTCGACAATTTCCCGTTGGTATGCAGAATTCAAACGTCGAGTCTTAGCAACGATCCCAGGGTGGGGGCACCAAAAACGGCAGTCACCCAGGAAAACGTCGTGCTGTGCGCAAACTCATCATTGAAGATAGACATGAGACATATCGCGAGATTGAGGCGTCCTTGAAGACCTCAATTCAAAAAAATTTACATGAAGAATTACGAGTAAGAAAATTAGTTTCTCGTTGGATACCCCACCTGTTGACTGAAGAGCAGAAAGCAGCCAGGGTTAATTGGTGTCAAAGCACGCTTGACCGTTTCAATTTCGGATACTCAAAAATGTGTACAGCATTGTTAGTGGTGATGAATCGTGGATTTACTGTTATGAACCAGAAAATAAACGGCAGTTGGCTGCAGGGTGTTCCAAGGTGAAGAAAAGCCAACAAAAGTCATCCGTTCTCGAAGTGTTTCTAAAAAGATGGTTGCGACATTTGTGTCAAAAGCGGGTCATATTGCAACAATTCCTCTTAATGAGCAAAGAACTATTACTGCGGATTGGTATACCACCATTTGTTTGCCAAGAGTGATCACCGAGCTTCGAAAAATCATCCTCCACCAAGACAATGCAAGCTCGCACACAGCCCAAAAAACAAGGCAGTATTTAACGGAAGAAAACGTGGAATTATTGGACCATCCTCCATATAGTCCCGATCTAAGTCCTAACGATTTCTTTACTTTCCCGAAAATTAAAAACAGACTGCGTGGTCAAAGGTTCCAGTCACCAGAAGAAGCAGTTGATGCAATCAAAAATGTCCAGAATCCATTTTAGATGCTGTGCTTGACTGTAGGGTAGAAGCTACTGATTCTGTTGCTGAAACTGCTTAACAATAAATCAAAGATTATTTCATGGATGACATCAAATTTCCACGCGAAGACTCACCTGGCTTTATCGATGTTGTGGTTGAACGAGAATCCGTTGTAGATGCTTTGCTTGACTGTGGGGTAGAAGCTACTGGTACTGTTGCCGAAACTGCTTAACAAGAAAGCAAAGATTATTTCATGGATGACATCAAATTTCCATGCGACAGCTTACCTGGCTTTATCGGTGTTGTGGTTGAGCCAGAATCCGTTGTAGATGCTTTGCTTGACTGTGGGGTAGAAGCTGCTGATACTGTTGCCGAAACTGCTTAACAAGAAAGCAAAGATTATTTCATGGATGACATCAAATTTCCATGCGACAGCTTACCTGGCTTTATCGGTGTTGTGGTTGAGCCAGAATCCGTTGTAGATGCTTTGCTTGACTGTGGGGTAGAAGCTGCTGATACTGTTGCCGAAACTGCTTAACAAGAAGGCAAAGATTATTTCATGGATGACATCAAATTTCCATGCGAAGGCTCACCTGGCTTTACCGGTGTTGTGGTTGAGCCAGAATCCGTTGTAGATGCTTTGCTTGACTGTAGGGTAGATGCTGCTGATTCTGTTGCCGAAACTGCTTAACAAGAAATCAAAGATTATTTCATGGATGACATCAAATTTCCACGCGAAGGCTCACCTGGCTTTATCGATGTTATGGTTGAACCAGAATCCGTTGTAGATGCTTTGCTTGACTGTGGGGTAGAAGCTGCTGGTACTGTTGCCGAAACTGTTTAACAAGAAAGCAAAGATTATTCCATGGATGACATCAAATTTCCATGCGAAGGCTCACCTGGCTTTATCGGTGTTGTGGTTGAGCCAGAATCCGTTGTAGATGCTTTGCTTGACTGTGGGGTAGCAGCTTCTGATACTGTTGCCGAAACTGCTTAACAAGAAAGCAAAGATTATTTCATGGATGACATCAAATTTCCACGCGAAGACTCACCTGGCTTTATCGATGTTGTGGTTGAACGAGAATCCGTTGTAGATGCTTTGCTTGACTGTGGGGTAGAAGCTACTGGTACTGTTGCCGAAACTGCTTAACAAGAAAGCAAAGATTATTTCATGGATGACATCAAATTTCCATGCGACAGCTCACCTGGCTTTATCGGTGTTGTGGTTGAGCCAGAATCCGTTGTAGATGCCTTGCTTGACTGTGGGGTAGAAGCTGCTGATACTGTTGCCGAAACTGTTTAACAAGAAGGCAAAGATTATTTCATGGATGACATCAAATTTCCACGCGAAGGCTCACCTGGCTTTATCGATGTTATGGTTGAACCAGAATCCGTTGTAGATGCTTTGCTTGACTGTGGGGTAGAAGCTGCTGGTACTGTTGCCGAAACTGCTTAACAAGAAAGCAAAGATTATTCCATGGATGACATAAAATTTCCATGCGAAGGCTCACCTGGCTTTATCGGTGTTGTGGTTGAGCCAGAATCCGTTGTAGATGCTTTGCTTGACTGTGGGGTAGCAGCTTCTGATACTGTTGCCGAAACTGCTTAACAAGAAAGCAAAGATTATTCCATGGATGACATCAAATTTCCATGCGAAAGCTCACCTGGCTTTATCGGTGTTGTGGTTGAGCCAGAATTTGTTGTAGCTGCTTTACTTGACTGTAGGGTAGATGCTGCTGATTCTGTTGCCGAAACTGCTTAACAAGAAATCAAAGATTATTTCATGGATGACATCAAATTTTCACGTGGAGGCTCACCTGGCTTTATCGGTGTTGTGGTTGAGCCAGAATTCGCTGTAGATGCTTTGCTTGACTGTGGGGTAGCAGCTGCTGATACTGTTACCGAAACTGCTTAACAAGAAAGCAAAGATTATTTCATGGATGACATAAGATTTCCTTGCGAAGGCTCACCTGGCTTTATCGGTGTTGTGGTTGAGCCAGAATCCGTTGTAGATGCTTTGCTTGACTGTGGGGTAGAAGCTGCTGATACTGTTGCCGAAACTGCTTAACAAGAAAGCAAAGATTATTTCATGGATGACATCAAATTTCCACGCGAAGGCTCACCTGGCTTTATCGATGTTATGGTTGAACCAGAATCCGTTGTAGATGCTTTGCTTGACTGTGGGGTAGAAGCTGCTGATACTGTTGCCGAAACTGCTTAACAAGAAAGCAAAGATTATTTCATGGATGACATCAAATTTCCACGCGAAGGCTCACCTGGCTTTATCGATGTTGTGGTTGAGCCAGAATCCATTGTAGATGCTTTGCTTGACTGTGGGGTAAAAGCTGCTGATACTGTTGCCGAAACTGCTTAACAAGAAAGCAAAGATTATTTCATGGATGACATCAAATTTCCACTCGAAGGCTCACCTGGCTTTATCGATGTTGTGGTAGAGCCAGAATCCATTGTAGATGCTTTGCTTGACTGTGGGGTAGAAGCTGCTGATACTGTTGCCGAAACTGCTTAACAAGAAAGCAAAGATTATTTCATGGATGACATCAAATTTCCATGCGAAAGCTCACCTGGCTTTATCGGTGTTGTGGTTGAGCCAGAATTTGTTGTAGCAGCTTTACTTGACTGTAGGGTAGATGCTGCTGATTCTGTTGCCGAAACTGCTTAACAAGAAATCAAAGATTATTTCATGGATGACATCAAATTTCCATGCGAAAGCTCACCTGGCTTTATCGGTGTTGTGGTTGAGCCAGAATCCGTTGTAGATGCTTTGCTTGACTGTGGGGTAGAAGCTGCTGATACTGTTGCCGAAACTGCTTAACAAGAAAGCAAAGATTATTTCATGGATGACATCAAATTTCCACGCGAAGGCTCACCTGGCTTTATCGATGTTATGGTTGAACCAGAATCCGTTGTAGATGCTTTGCTTGACTGTGGGGTAGAAGCTGCTGGTACTGTTGCCGAAACTGCTTAACAAGAAAGCAAAGATTATTCCATGGATGACATCAAATTTCCATGCGAAGGCTCACCTGGCTTTATCGGTGTTGTGGTTGAGCCAGAATCCATTGTAGATGCTTTGCTTGACTGTGGGGTAGCAGCTTCTGATACTGTTGCCGAAACTGCTTAACAAGAAAGCAAAGATTATTTCATGGATGACATCAAATTTCCATGCGAAAGCTCACCTGGTGTTGCCAATGTTGTGGTTGAGCCAGGATCCGTTGTAGAGGATTTAATTGTCGCATCAGTTGACTGTGAGGTAGAAGCACCTGAGTCTGTTACCAAAGCTGTTTAACAAAAAGTAAAGTTTATACAATGGATGACGTTAAATTTTCATGCGAAAACTCACCTGGTTTTACCGATATTATGGTTGATCCAGAATCCGTTATAGAGGCTTTGCTTGATGCGTCAGTTGGCTGTGGGGTAGAAGCGTCTGATTCTGATACCGAAACTGTTAGAAATTTGTGATTAGATCAATCAGTCATCAACAATAACAATGATCAAAGGGCTTGTACTAACCAGAATCATCCAGACGCCAAGTACTTTAAAATACCTTATGCCAAAGGATTGTCAGATAAAGTTAAACATCACTTAACAGATAACAACAAGGATTATGGTTTACCATAAGAAGTTAGTTGGAATGTTATATTCCTCATTCAAAATATCAATTGCACATTAGCTATAAATCTAATTTAGTGTACAAAATACCTACTAGTGACTGGCAAATGGTCGGTCAAAAAAACAAATGCTTACTTTCTTCACATAAATCATCTTGATAAGGAGTATATACAGCCTCGGCAACTCATCATTTTCAGGATAATCATAACTTCAACTTTGACTGAGTGTATTAGACAATTACAAAAAATGCTTAATTGGCGAAATAGTTTCCACCTGTTTATATAATAATGCTATATAATAATGCTGACGACCTTAGTCAGACTTATAACTTCTTGATTAAGAAATTTATCATATTACCCTAAGCAGCGTTGCGCCCTCAGAATTCATGATATCTCCTCATAAACATATATCTAGATTGAAGCAATGTGGATTTCTAACGCGTTGCTTTAGCTGGTCTAAAGTCGAACTGGCATGTCTTTGTTGTATTTTCTATCGTATATTTTCATGGTTGATCTAAGGGACGTTTGTTACCCATAGGACGTGTTTTGCATGTCTCATTCAATAGGTAAGGATGCAGTCTTTCATATTTGTTCGTTGTTTTCGAATTCTGTGTTTGAATATGTTTCTTTGTACTGTCCCATTTTGAAAGAACGCATTTCTAACTTGTTGGAGTCTGATTCATCATATAATAACTTTTAATATGTAAGCACGCTTATTGTTATATTTTTTGTTTGATCATTCTACCGTTTTTATATTCTTGTGTATGGTGGGGTAACATGAACGCGCAGCGTTATATCCACGAAGTTCTAGAACCCCATCTTTTACCCTATCTTGACACCCTGGCAGATCCAACTTTCCAACAAGATAATGAACGACCACATGTTGCAAGAGTCACAATAGACTTCTTTCAACATAATGATGTCACATTGTTACCATGGCCACCAAGATCTCCCGACTTATCCCCAATTGAGCACGTGTAGGATATGATGGGTAGGAGATTGCTCAATTTGCGACGTCCTCCTCAGACTCTAGAAGCACTTCGAAAGGAGTTGGTGGTTGCCTGGAATGAGATACCACAGGAGGACATTGACCACCTGATCAGAAGCATGCCTAGTCGCGTTGGAGAATGCGTAGCACATCAGGGTGCATCCATACATTATTAAAGGTCAAAGGGCTTTAAAGCAGTGCAATCATTTTGAAATTTTTATCATTTACTTATTATGCTTCATTAAGTACTTATACAAAATTTTATTGAAATAAAACCATTTAAACTGGGTGTTCGGATTTATATGTCACTTAGTATATTTTATAATAACGATTTTTCAACCAAACATACTGCTCTCTTCCATCCGACCACAGATAAGGAATTAATATGACCCGAGTGACCCAGGGACAACGAATGCAAGCATAGCAACTATCCGCTATCAGTATCACACCTCATATCTCGGATGGTTATTGGTATGAGATGAGATGTCTCTGATAGAGGATAGTTGCTATGAACGGAACAGCTGTCCATGGTTGGTTATCTGTAGTCGATCGGATCCATGTTTATTTGTTCAATGGTGAGTAGACCACTTCTACTACACCGCCAAAATCGGCAGCATCTATCGGTCATAGTGGTGACTGAGATATCAAACGCGAACCGAGATATTTACAGTTCCAACCGGTTCTCCCTTGCAGTAGTCGATTCTGATAATAGATGGCGCTTTGTGCTGTCTTATTTCAACAGTGATGGTTTCATCAACATCAGATCTTCTCGCGTTTGACCTGGTTTAGGTCAACGTTATGTATCTCTATTTCAAAGACGACATAAGATTTCCATGCATGTCTCACCTTGGTTGGCAGTTGTAGATACCTCTCCATTTATTGTGGTTTCAATAGGAACTGTTTTGAGCTCTGATGCAAGTGTTGATTGTGGTGGTGTGACTGTTTAACAGAAAAGTAGAGTTCTACATATCGTTATTTTGTAAACATCAACTTTTGAGAGGAAAGAAACCTCGCCTGATTCTGTGCTTCTGTGTTGAGGTGCTTCTGTGGGTACAGGAGGAACTGTTTTGGGTGAAGTAGAACCTTCTGATTCTTTTGCAGTAGCTGTTTAGCCGAAAAGCAAAAGTTACTAAACATAGTTTTATAAACAACAACAGCTTTTAGTGTCGAATTTTACCTGGTCCTGTTGCTGCAGGAAGAACTGTTTCGTGTGCTTTACTTGATTCGTGAGTAACCTGTCCCGTAGAAACTTCCAGTTCTGGTGCCGTAGTTTTGAAAGAACAATAAGATTTACGTTGCGTTATATTACAAATGATAGCGACTAATCATATACATACATGGTGTCCCAACGAAAATGGAAAGTAGTTTTATGCGCAATCTGGAAAAGATATCAAAAATATATTTTTGTGGCAATCTTGATCTGGTACTAGTACATATTTAAAAGTTATTTTAATATAAACACGGTGTTCCATAACTTCATGTAATAGCAAACGTATGTGTTTTATATAAAATACCCTATATTTCATTGAATATTTAAATAGAGCTTCTAAAAAACAAAAAGTTTGATATTACTCGTATATAACATATTGTTTCGATTTTCAATTGTTTGTGTATGGTCAAATGTCTGAAAAAATGCCCAGCTTTGACAGCTCGCAACCGAAGATATTGAATCTTGTTGTTGTTTTCATCGAAGATATGATTTTGAGTCTAATACATATAGGTTTTTCTTGGAGTTTATACCAATAACACGAAAACTGCTCGAAAAAAGGTGTATAAGCCTAATATGGAACAAAAAATTCGTGACAAAGAAAGTAATGTTTCGAAGAATTTGAGGCATCTGAATTTGCGTACAAAAAAGAAAAGAGTTGTTATTCCGGATTCTTTATGTAATGTTGATAAAATAAATGAGTACTACATTAAATCGGTTCCAAATAATGAGGATACCAATGACTATTCGCAAATCATTGACGACTACGAAAATAAAGCTAAAAATTAAAATAAAAATTTTGATTTTCGTGAAGTTGATGAAATAACTGTTCTCAAACACATGTCTTCGATTGCGTCGAACTCAGTAGGCTTCGAGGGTATCGAAATAAAATTTCTGAAACTATGTTGCCCGTTTCTACTGCCTTATTTGACGCATATAGTGAACTACTGCTTTCGACATTCAGTGTATCCTAAAAAAAAGACACTCAGACATTCAAAGACCTCCGCCCTATAAGTATACTATCAGCACCTTCCAAAATATTAGAAAAAATTATGAATGAGCAGCTAAGAACGGTTGTTCATTCCCATGCAATACTTCCAGATGAACAAGCAGGATTTCGAGCAGGGTATAGCTGTTTTACTGCACTATTGAACGTAACTGACAACATATTTCAGGCAACTGATGACGGTAAGCCAACCATCCTTGTACTCCTGGACTATTCTAGGGCCTTCGACACAATCAACCATCAAATACTGATATCAATCTTACACTCTGTGGGGGTCAGTAATCATGCATCATTACTACTGTTAAATTACCTAAACAATCGAAAGCATAAGGTGGTGTTAAATGGGAATGTGTCGGATGCTCTGGTAATAGTTGCAGGTGTGCCTCAGGGATCAATACTCGGTCCTTTACTGTATTATTGTTTATACATCAAAATTTCCAAAATCTGTCAAATACTCAGAACTATAGTTATATGCGGATGATACGCAACTTCTTTATTCGTTTCGCCCAGATGAAGTAGATGAAGGTTGTCATCGAATATGCTCTGATCTCAAAAGTATCTCCGATATCTCCAAACGGCACTCCTTGTATCCCAACCCTGATAAGTCAAATTTTATTATTTTGACCAGCCATTCCTCTATAAGAATGAAAGCTGAACTTCGCCTTTTCCAAGTAATACTTCCATATCTCTGTACCTTGCTACCAACGAATAAAGATGATTATTATTATTGTTATTATTATTGTTATTATTATTATTATTATTATTATTATTATTATTATTATATCAAAAAAGTATACAATGGCAGCTATTTTATTAGTTTGCCATTTAAAATTTATGAGAAAAAATGCATTTTGCGTTTTGAGACCTTGTATAAATAGAAAGATATATTAGCATTCCTTCTCGATCAGCTCATAATCGATGATAATGAGATTTTAGTAAACTCAAATTTATCTGAATATATTTAAAAATGCCAGATCTGCGAGCCCTCAAACTTGTGCATTTTTTCAGACATTTCACCAAATATCTAAACAATTACCAGTCGAAACCATATGTTATATAATATCAACTTTTTTGTTTTTAGAAGTTCTATCCAAATATGAATAAAGCATAGGGTATTCTGCTTAAAACTTACATGTTTGTCATAGCACAAGGTTATGGTACACCCTATACAAGTCTTGACCAAAAATGAAACATGGCGGAGATTATCCAAATAAAAATGGTACACAAGTGTACCTTCAATTTGCTAGAAATAATTACTCGTGTTTTTTTTCTATAGTGCATTATGTTCGTAAAAATGAAAAAACAAATTAGTAAAAACCTTTGGGGTAGGTTGGCCTCTGCGTCTGCGAAATCTACGTTGATACTCCCAAGAAGCCGCTAAGCTAAAATATTTCCCTTGCAGAACCCGTACACAAAAATAATACCGGCCTCATAGTTAAATTCCACTTCACTTCTGGAACAAAGATACCCTTGACTTGACTTTTTAAAAAAAAAGAATATGGTAGTAGTAACGATAACAACCTTATCATAACTTTGACAAACCGTCTTCCGAAAAACGTCAAGCTGGTATCCAGGCCTCCTAGTTTATTTTGAAACTAATTGTATTTCGGCTCTTCATGAATGATCTAACGTCTTTTACTTTTATTTTTACGAAAACAGTGCAATCTAGGAAAAAAACAGCGTAATTATTTGTAGCAAATTGAAGGTAAAATTTGAAAAATAACACGTTTCGAAAAAACAATGCAACTAATCCCCTGTGCCTACGCCACTGGTGCACGTTTATTTTAAGTAAAGATTTTTGAATATGGACATTACTTGCGTCAATTGACATATAAATTTTAGTTCATTCCAGTTGACGGTTTTGAAGATAAAAAAAATATTCCTTATTTTTAAACGTTAACAATGAAGCCCTTGAGGGAAAAATGTTACATAGAAGACCACCCCTTAAAATGCAGTCCTGTGTATGATGTTTCACTTTTGTTCACGACTTGTGAATCACCCTGTATATGCCAAAATATTTTTATAATATGCACTAGTAAAATATCAAGGTTGCTACCGAAACAGATTTTTATATCTTTTCCAGTTTGCTCATAAACCTATTTTCCGCTTTTGTTGGGACACCCTGTACGTGAAGCCTCACTTGCTACTGTAGTTGTTTGAGTCTCCAAAGTTTTGCTCACTCTACTTGATGTAGTAGTCTGTGTAGAAGTATCTGGTTTTAGTGATGTGACTGGTCAACAGAAAATGAAATGTTATTTTATTTCGTAAAAGATGCTAGCTATTGATACGTGATAACCAGAAATCAACTATGCAAAAGTGATGACATTCTATGGATATTATGTCGAGTGATAGGGAAATAAACAGTTTAACCGTGTATACAGATTCACAAAACTTTTTTACTGGTACTCACTTGATTTTGTCGTTGCAACAGCCTCAGTAGTAGCAGTAGATGTAGAAGCAGTTTCGGATCCAGTATTTGAAGAGTCTTCTGCCTCAGGAGCTGTTGTTACTTCTGTTGTTAAAAAGTCAGAAGTTAAGCCTAGTGGTTGTTTGATTGATTAACGTATTTTTGATTTCTAATTCACCTCACCCGGTTTTGGATGTATGGGACGTGGGCGCTCAGAAGATGGCCCACAAGCGCTTACGGTTGACAGGAGCGCTGTAAATCATTTAAACCGGTACAAGTTTAAGTTGTATAAAAAAAGTAACTGAATATATGTAAATATCAAAAGCTTAAGCTAGTATACGCTTATGCAAATGATAAAGCTACTGTCAAACTTCCGTTGAGACATGTGTGGATTGAAGTGAAATTAGGGTCAATTCTCAGGAGTTTTCAATATTCTACATGGCTATTTTGAAACCGGTGCTAAAAGACTCCGCATAATATAGAGAATGGATATCGGCCATTTTTTATTCAAATTTAATGTGTTGTAGATCTTGTGATTTCCAGTGTCTCCTTTGTATTACTTGGAGTAACTTGGAGCCACCCGCCACCTGTTAATACCGTTCCAGCACTGTAGAGTGTCATGCACTTGAGCTACTCATTTTTGAAATCCCCTGCCCTCTCATTCACCAGCTTTCTATTCAGTGTTATATGCTCCGAAATAGTGGGGATAACGAAAGTGGCAATGTGTCAAGATTCTTAGGTTATGTTTTTCCCAGGAATAATGAAATTTCTAAATATGTAATTCTATAGATCAGCCTCAGGATACAGTAAACACATTCAGTGAGTTTTTCAGCAGCGTCTATGTCACTCACAAGCCCCATAATAATGCCTCACTAAATCATAGTAATTTATTTGTCCGTTTTCATCCAATTGAGGAAAATGAAGTCAGGAAGGCCATTAAATCACTAAAGGATAAGATGACATCTGGTCTAGATGGCATCTCGTCATTTATAGTCAAAGATTGTGTGCAAGTGTTTGTTGGTATTCTAACTAGGATTTTTAATATTTGTCTTATAACAAAAAGATTTCCAGATATTTGGAAGATCGCTAAGGTCTGTCCAGTGTTTAAGTGTGGGTATAAGTCAAATATTGAGAATTACAGGGCAATCTCTATATTATGCATGTTCTCGAAAGTCTTTGAAATAGTCTTGTACAGTCGCATTTACACTGCCGTCCAGCGTCAGCTGTCATTGCATCAACACGGATTTGTCGCTAATCGCTCAACAACCACAAATCTATTTATAATAACGCAGTACCTCTCGGAAGCAATTGATAGTAATGAGCAAGTTGACGTTATTTATACCGACTTTTCGAAGGCTTTCGATAAAATTAACCACAAAACTTTATTAAATAAGTTAGGTGCACTTGGTTTCACAGCTGATGCTAGGGAGTTGATGAAATCTTACTTATCCGATCGTAGACAATTTGTTAGCTATAATAGCTTCCAATCTGAGACCTACTTGGCACCTTCTGGAGTTCCTCAGGGGTCCAACCTGGGACCATTACTGTTTTTGATATTTATTAATGACCACTGTGACTCAGTTGAATGTGAACGAATTTATTCGCAGATAAATACTCCTGATGATTGTATCAAGCTACAACACCAATTAAATTTTGTGCTGTCTTGGTGTGTAGAAAACAAGTTTATTGATGGGTCTGTGCTAGAAAGATGCTCTGATGTACGTGATTTAGGTATATATAATCTATGATCAAAAGTTCACTTTTAGTCAGCATATAAATAAAAAAGCATCAGAAGCATTGGCGGCTTATGGTTTCATAGTAAGGAATTGCAGGAATTTTTATAACATAAAGTCTATTAAGCTATGCTTATGTTAGATCCAAAGTCGAATATTGTAGTATTATTTGGAGCCCTTACTATGAATGCTATAGCACAGCTATTGAAAGAGTACAACGGAAGTTTATGAAGTTTGTTCTGTTTAGGATTGATGGGACATATCCAGAGAGAGGTACAAGTAATGAGGAACTATGTAGTCGCTTAGACATGTTGACTTTGAAAAAACGTAGGTACTGTGCCTCAATAATATTTGGCTACAAAATGATCAACAATTTAACTGATTGCCCCATTATCCTGGAACAGATCAAGTTTCGTACTCCAACGTTTGCATCTCGCAATCATAAAATATTCGGGCTTCCTAGAGCTATGACAAACATTCTTCTCAAGTCACCGTAATATGTAATGTGCTCTAACTTAAACAGAATTGGATGTTACTGTGATATATTTACGACAAATGTTAATTACCTGCTAAAGGCAGCTAAGGCTTATTCGGACCAATAGCTCATGTTACAAATTTATACCTGTGTTGCATTTGTTGTTTTCTTTTCGCTTTTTTTTTGCTTTTGTATTATGTTTATAAATTGTCCTATAAATGGGAAACTGTTGGACAATAAAGCTATTATTATTATTATTATTATTGTTTTTTTTGCAATAAACTTATATTAAGCCGATACCAGACAATGGAGGACGGTTAAAAACTGATAATGTTATGTCTCAGAGTCACAACGTACATTTGAGATGTTCCTGAATAATGAAGAACACAATAAAGTGCAAGAATAAAGGTTCACGGCGACTTTCAGTTGGCTTTGTCTATAACTAGACGCTTAGAAGATAATTTTGAATGGCTACACTAATATATGAATTCGCACACATTTATCCAGAAGCTTTACAATAAGAATGGAGACGTCTGACGTGTTGCACCATTATTCTAAGGACCGTATCGTCAGTCGTTCCAACAATTGCAGGACATGTTTAAAGCCTCCTTGATTTTCATAGTTTTCTACTGTTCCGTGTCAGCGCTCTATTTTGAGGTTATGTTACAAATATTTATTTGCACGAAATTATTCATTTTGAGTTAAGTCATCTGGTATAACAGACCGAAATTTCTTACAATACAAAAAGAAAACATGGCCTCGCAATAGGAGAGCGTTGACGCTGACACAGAACAGTACAAATCTGGAAATATCCCAGTACTTCCTAAGGAGAGAAAAGATTATGAAAATCAAGGAGGCCTTAAAGGCGACCTACAATTGCCAAAAGCAAGGACGGCGTACAGGGCCGCATTCAGGGCTACCTCCGAATGATGGACTACCACCAACGTGTTGTAAAACAAAGATGACAGTATTTAACAGAAACAGAAACTTAATAAATTGCTCAAATACGCTTAACAACAACAACAGCAACAACCAAGCAAGGTGAATACGAAAACACCAGCACGCAGTGATACACGCGACGGACGGTGCCCTGAGTGCAACTCTGCCTGCCCTGCAGCACCATAATAGTAATGCATTTCTGCACAATCTCGCGGAGAATATGAAATGATTCTATTCAGATGCCAAACGTTACTCACACCCTGTGTAAACATCCAAAAACTGATCTGGATTATACAGTGTGCTTCATTACTCAGTTCGATATAATAGTTCCGATCGATTTTTTAAAATTCATGTTTGGATAGAAATAAATACTTTTGCGTTTTGTTGTCTTTATTCAGCTGTTACATTAATATTCTGTCTGAAAAACCTCAAAATAAGTCGAGCAGTATCATGACTACTTCAACAGACATGCTAGGCTAGACACTCTAGACTAGGTATCTAAATACACCATACAAATAGTGGATTACAACTAATTCAATCTATAGATAAGCCAAGCAGTAAGCTTTCTTTCGCCTGTGTTATATGGAATCTCTTTTTGACACTCATTCGTATGGAATTGAAAGAATCTCATATAAGTGTTTACGTTCGCCTGCCTCCAAATGCGACGCTCATATCACCGATAGAAAATATGGTCCAATTATGAAAATATTTAATATGTTATCACTGTTCAATAGAATAATAATTCCTGATATTTGTTAGACATACAAACTAGTTGAAAACTTTTACATCTGTGATAATCTACTTTCCCTAGTTCAGCTTAATGTTCCAGATAGAAATTACTGTCATTATAACATGTTTAAGGTAATATGCTAAGTAAGTATACAAAGATGCTACAATCAATTTTGAGAAGAGGACTTGTTTTGTGTTAACATCACATTAGACATTTTTGTAGTCAATATACAGGGTGAGTCACAAGTCGTAACCAATTCGACAAATTCCGTGTTTCGAAAAAAAAAAACAGTGACGTACTATTTTTATTTTCAAAACTAATGCAACTAATAGCCCGTATCTCCGCCACTGGTGCACGTTAATTTTAAGTAAATACCTTTGACTATGGACTACACTTGGGTAAATCCACATACCAAATTTCAGTTCATTCCAGTTAACGGTTTTGAAGATATTAAAAATAATTGTTTTTTATTTGTAAACTTTAACTCCCCGTATCCTTTTACATAAAAAACCTCCCTTAAAATGCGGTCCTGTGTATGATATTTCATTTTTGGTCACGAATATCTTGATATCCCATAATTGTGTTGTACATGTAACTAACATTTTACTGTAACATAGTGAGGGTGTGTTGGCTTTGACTGTGAACACTCCAAATCGTAATAAATAGAAAAATGAATAAACATTAGATCATCAGATATCTTTTTACTGAAAGTTCGGTACTATTAAAGGGGTCAAGGTACTGGTTGCCATACTTCATTAAATAATACAAAATTACGCCCTCTACGACTACCCGACACAACTCTGAAGCATGTAGGCCTATCCAATTATTTGAAAAAATCGTATAGGTGTTTATCAAAAAGGCAGCTCTGTAATCTAGGTAATTTTTCAAATAGCCTGTATAATCCTCAATATTTTTGAAAAGTGTTCTCACAAAGACGGAGCAGGATGATACTTCACAATTTTTGACCGAGCTTATATACTAAGTGGCATATAAATCCGAACACCCAGTTTAAATGGTTTTATTTTAATAAAAGTTGGTGAATGTATTTATCTTACTGTAAATAACAAGTGAAAAAATTTTCAGCCTTATCAGTTGTACATTCCGGTTTTTATACTGCTTTTTTTTAATTCACTAACGCTCTAAAAATGAATATTTCAGCCGCAGTAAAGAATCACTGTTGGCGGATTTTGGTTCTTGACATCCTTTACGATCGGTTACGATGCCTAGAGTACGGAGACCTGTACGATTTCGTCAACTTAGTGAGTTTGATAGGGGCCGTATAGTGGGACTTCGGGAAGCTGGACTTTCTTTTCGGGCAATTGCAGTTAGAGTGAAAAGAAGTGTAGACACTGTGGTTAGGTGTTGTCAGGCATGGCTTCGAGGAGGCCGTACGCAAAGAGC